CACACACACACACACACACACACACACACACACACACTATATATATATATATATATATATATATACCCACCCACCACCACCACACACACACGCACACACACGCAAACAACTGGCACACACGTGTATTGCTTCCTCTTCTATGCTTACATAACTTGTGTACGATTGGCATTCGAAATTAATCCGTGGCAACTGCCCTACGATGCAATTTCGCATACATCTCAAAATGGACCAACCCGGCATATATAAGCTGTACTATAACTCCTCACACACGCATAACTTGTGCATATGTAGCCGACTACTGTATATATATACAACCTTTATATTCATCATGTTACATTCATATTGACTCATCACGCATGGACTGTTTCTGTTTCGCAGATCATTGGACAGCTGTCATACGCCGCTGTGTCAACACTGGCTGATTTCGGTCAGGTGTTTGGCTACCATTGGGGTGAGTGCCCTGTATTGTCGTAGACTGTAGTCATCAGTTGGGTGCTTTATATTGCCGTACAACCATTGGGGCGTGCGTTGTATTGTTCGTATATTCTGGTTAAGCACTATGTTGTTAGGAGCTTTGTATTGCCGTATAATCATCAGGTTAAGTACTTTTCATTGTCGTATGAGTATCAGATTAAGCAATTTGTATAGTAGTATACTCATAAGGCTAAGTGCTTTGTATAGACGTATAACCATCAGTCAAGAACTTCATTGTCGTATGGTTGTCAGATTAGGCAATTTGTATAGTCGTATATTCATAGAACTAAGTGCTTTGTATAGTCGTATAACCACCGGTTAAGTACTTTTCATTGTCGTATGATCATCAGGTTATGCGCGTTGTATAGTTGTATGCTCATCAGGTCAAGTACCTTGTATTGTCGTATAATCATTCTAGGTAGTGGGTTTATCATATCTATAATTCAAAGGATATATACGAGGTTGGTTGCGGCTGTTGTTGTTTACTAAATAAATTACTGGATCGTTTTTGATGTTATTTGGTAATCTACCACTACGGATCAATGATCACAGACACGCCCACGCCCACGCATTCACACTTACGTTCAACACATGCAGACCCAGACATCTACTCACATGGTAGCAGATGAGTATATATACACCTTACACTGAAGAAAGACACACATTTACATCTGTATACACAGACAATAAAGAGAACAAGTTGTTGGAAGCCCCCAAACCCAAGGAGCTGGACGTGACTGAGTTTACGCTCAATCTGACCGGTGTAAGCCTCAGTCTGGTAGGCAGAGAGAGCGTCACCCACGTGCGTATGGCCGAGGGCGCCAAAGTACAGGTACGGAAGATAGCTTGCGGATGTATGTATTTATACACACACAGACACACATAGACACACGAGCATACACACACACACACACACACATACACACACACACACACACACACACACACACACACACACACACACACACACACACACACACACACACACACACA